ATCTGATCTTGGAATAGAAATGGCTCGAGAATGTCATGCCTTATCGCCTGAAACTTATATTGTCGAGGAATCTAGGCAGTTTGATGGGGCTTGTGGAACTGAGCGGCTGACCCAACCGTCAACTGCCCCAGAAGAAGATCATGACTCTGCCAAGGAGATCTCTGGAAATGATTTAGACTCAAATGTGCAAGTTTCTGCGCATCAACTTTCAGCTCCTAGAGCCAAAGGAAAAAAGCAAAAGGCGAAGAACACTCAAGGATTTAGACCATCTTCACCCTCGCCTAGTGCTTTCAACTCATCTGAATCCATCGACGGTGGTGTCAGCTCAAGTAGCACCTCTATGGAAGCTGCATTCTCACAAATTTTGTCCATGCATGAGATGCTAAATCAGGTGCCTGCTTTTACTCTTAAGAGCCTGTGTGCATAAATGGTCTTAATATTCTTTAGATTTTTTATTTTAAGATGTTTTTAGTCATTCTTGTTAGTATTTCAAATTACAGGTTTTTGTTATTATTGTAATTTGTAATCATATATTTAGATGGTTGCCTTATTTATATATATTTATCTTTTTTACTTGCACTGTTAATTTGCTTTAGTAATGATGATGCTATGAGTTGAGCTAAATGAAAGGAATGAGGATTCGTATCGCCGACCCCAACTTGTTTGGGACTGAGGCGTAGTTGTTGTATTTAGATAGTTTCTATTACTTTGAAATTTTCCTATTATATCTTACTACAAATGGTGATCCATATAACCTTGACATGCCGCTTTCGACTGCCCTTTTTCTGCACTGAATTGAGAATTTTCTAGCTGTTAATTGGCCACTTGGTCCTTGCTCTAACCAGTTCCCCTCCTGAAATTTGCCTCCGGGGCTTTGGGTAGTGGTAAGACCACACCGCGTGATGTGTGGGTTAGGTGCACGTCACGAGTTTGAACGTGCCGTAGACAAAAGCTTGGTATTTAAGTGGAAAAGGATAGAGGGGCGGGCCCATTATCCATTGAGTTTTGAACCATGTGCCATCGACCCTGAGGGATTTCTCGGTTACGAAAAAAAGTCCCTCCTGACATTTATTGGACTATTTTCAATTAATTTCTGTCTTCTTGGTCTCTTTCATGTCTAATCGTTTGTGAAACTACTTTCAGAGAACTCTCTGCTTCGAACTCTCAAACTCCTCAAGGGATGGAAGCAGATTTTCTTATACATATATTTGTTTTATGGAATCTTGTTTATTTCCCAAATCGATTTTAGGTCTTGCATTGATACATTAAAGCATGGTGGAAATTTGGCCTTCCTGCGGTTATATCGTCTTAGTTAAATTTTCATTTAGCTTATATGCTATTCTTACTTGTTCCGTTTTCTCTCAATGTCGTGCTTTCTAGCTTCTTAATATGCAAAAAGAAACACAAAAGCAGATGGGTATGATGGTCGCTGTTCCTGTTACCAAAGAAGGAAGAAGACTCGAGGCTGCCTTGGGACGGAGCATGGAGAAGGCTGTCAAGGCCAACTCCGATGTCTTATGGGCTCGTTTCCAAGAAGAGAGTGCAAAACAAGAGAACTCACTTCGTGATCGTACTCAACAAATAACCAATATGATATCTAACTGCTTTAACAAGGACATGCCGGGGCTAATTGAAAAAATAATGAAGAAAGAACTGGCAGCTGTTGGACAAGCCGTCACACGCAGTATTGCCCCTACAGTTGAGAAAGCTGTATCAACTGCTATTTCAGAAGCCTTCCAGGTTACTTTAATGAAAATATGACCTCTCTTTTAATTTGAATTGTTTGTCAATAAAGGGATGTGTATGGTGCAGAAAGGAGTTAGTGACAAGGCAGTGAACCAACTGGAGAGAACAGTTAGCTCCAAACTCGAAGCTTCTGTTGCTAGGCAAATCCAAGCGCAATTCCAAACCTCTGGCAAGCAAGCACTTCAGGTCAGCATGAGCATGCGATTCTTTATTTAGTTAATGCCACTCAGTGTGGGTACAAAGACATTTTCTCTGCTTTGTCATGTTCACTTATGTGTTATTGCTCGCCTGCAATGATA